GGAAACTAGGACTGGGCAATAAGTCACTGTAGCAAAATCCGGATAATATTATTATGTTGTTAGTGCACCTCTTTGGCAAATAATACTTTACGATAGGAATATCTTCGGCCAATGGGTTACCACTACTTCAACTAATTATGGGTGCACCCACTTCGGTAAACGGGTCAGGAAAGAGTTAACCCTATCCGTACGTCGTGTTTTACTATCGTATCCGTACGACGTGGGGAACTCTGTGCCACCACTTTCCAAAGAGGAAATTTACTCGTTAATCAAATCCGTGGGCTTTGCATAGCAGTCTGTCAGAATGATTTTTTCAGAAATACTGAAAGTTTCAAAGAGATCTTCGTATTAGAAGTATTCTAAAATGTGAAAAATACAACAGCTGGGGTACAACATTACCCCGGGGCGTACGGACAGGGTTAAGAGTCTGAATTCGGAAAATGTTTCATTAAGAATTATCCGATTATCCTTATAGATTATCCGGAATCCGGTTATCCTAATAGATTATCCGGATTTTTCCCAGGTCTTGAGGAGACACGCATAAACGTCTGCCAGTGTCAGACGACACAATGAGAGATCACGCAGACGATAGCCAGTTCTCATGAAACCTCCATGTCCACTGGCGAAGTGGCTGATTGCCTTTGTCTCTTGTTACAACTTTACAACAATACATACACAACAGACTTGTTGGCTTGGCCCATAATTAATTTGGAATCGTGTTTATGGCAGAGAGCTTTCCTCGTGAGCTGGTAGTAAAAATTAATGTATATCCTCTCTGTCTCCCCCCCCCTCCCTCTGCTCTCTCCCTCTCTCTCTTACTCCCTCTCTCTTTATCCCTCTATCTGCCCCCTCTCCATAATAATAATAATTGCATTTATATAGCGCATATCCACGCTCAAGAGCATGCTCTATGTGCTTTACAACTATTAATACCCCAGCAGACCCCCTGAGAACACCCAGAAACATACTCGGCTTCCGCGGAAGCATACAGTGCAAGCTGCGGATTTCACGCGCTCAAACACTATCAAACT